GATTGTATATAATTATTAAATTTTAACGCAGGAGAGATGTTACGACTATTCTTAAAGACAAGTAACTCTCTTATGTTGTTAATAACCCTCTTAAAAAGCTTTATATATTTCATTGTATTTAAGTATTGATAATGTTGAATAAAGCCTTTCTAAACACAACAGGTGTGAACATTAAGATATAAGAACATATAGGTGACACCATTAGAAAAAGAGTTGCACTATACTGGTAACATACTTAACAACTTAATGTATAGCTATTTAGTGCATGGTTGTACCCTGACTACAAGTTAATTAAGACAAATCTTACTGTCAGCATATTGGAATTCTCAGCACATTACTTTGGGGCTTCAATTGGCCACATGACACTACGGCATGCTCTGGAAACTGTAGAGAACGACACCCTGGATTTTGGATGTTAAGTTTAGATTTAGAATCGACTAGAATAGTCGACTAGAATAGTCGACATGAAAAACTAAATGCACTATATACAATATTTTAAAAAATTTCAAGACACTTAATGGAAAAATTTAAAAAATATGCAAAGAAACTGAACTTACACGACTACACAAGCACACAACGCTTTCTGTTTTATTTCACAGAGCTAGAATTTACATAATGTGAGCTGAGTTTTATGAAAGAATCACAAACATAAAAGACATCCAGCCCATTCGGCGTGTTTACCATTCTGATTGATTTTTGTGGACTAAGAAATAAAATTCTTAGATGGACAATCTATAACTTTCAATGAGCTTTTGCCGACTACGTAACGATAACTCGTTTATCCTTACTTCAGAAGGATAAAGTACTCTCATATATCTCGTAGAGATATTTCAGTAATATTTTATTTTGTAATTAATTAAGTGCGTAAAGCCAATATACTAGTCTCTAAGTATACTAAATATACTAAACTAAGTATACTAAGTCTCTATTTCAAGTATATATTTTTAAAGTATATTTTCAAACCACAAAATAAATAACACTATATTCTTTTCTGCTGAATACATTTTCAAAATTACTCAAAAGTCATTTCACTTCATTAAATCGATTAGAAGCTATTCTTATTGCTCTAAATTTATTTAGTATTTTTTATCTTAAGTTCAAAACTTAAATATTTTGTATCCAATATATTATATATTTATGCGGCAAACTGTTAATCTTTATAAACACAAAAACTAAATATTATCAGATCCATCAGCTTTCAACTATTAAAAAACTTTTTTAACAATATGAAAAACTTATTTTAATTATTCGAAAATAATTAGATTTTAATAATCTTTTGAAAAACAACTTTTTATTTTATTTATTTTAATTATATTTAAAAACATTTGTGTGTACCTTTGACACTCTGAATACTTACAGCGTAAATTTAATAATTTTTCTAAACACTAAATAAATACATTGGAAGTAAAAGTTTTTACTTTAGTAGAGAAAATATTTTATTTTTTATTTTTATTTTTAGCTTTAGTTTTATTTTAGTAACAGAATTTATTCTCTACGACCTCACCAGACGCACCAGAAAGTCTTATCGCCGAAATAGAACTGATCTGCGAATATTCGAAATGAGTATGCGACGTTTTTCCACACCGCAGAAAAGTAAACAAAATTCATTGTTTTTATTTTTTTTATGTAAAAATTTTATCACATTTTATCAGACGATCTGTAGTAGAAATTGTTTAATCTCAGAGTATAGCCGAAGTGATCAAATAATGATAAAATATTACTTTTTCTAAGAGTAATTTTTTTAGCAAACCGAAATTTTAAGAGAATAGAAAGGTAGAGCCATTTTGAGACTCCAAGCTTTTAATTTGGCAAAATATGAGTTCAAACCCAAAGTATTTGTAGTCTATGAAATTGTTTACGGATTATTAAATCCATGGAATATTTTCAAAGATCACTGGGCACAGTGAAAAACTCAATTTATTAAGAATATAAATTTTTTATTGCTGTAATTTAGTTCTATTCAAAATCGTTTCTACTAAAAAATAGTTTCTTCCATATATATATATATATATATATAGACGTGAGAATTGTTCCCGTGAGAATAACGAAACTGTGACTAGATTTGATTAGGTTAGAGTGGCGTAAGCCCAATTGAACACAAATAATGACGAAAGACTGCGACTAACAGGAATTTATTGTGCATTTTGCTGGATTTATAGAGTAATTGAGATTTAGTATTCGCTGTTAGTGTATTTTAAATCCCGAAGATTTATCTGTATCTGAAAAAAATACTTCAAAAAAATATTTGCTAAAAAATCTTAAGTTGCTCAAAATCTACGTAGAAGGTTAACTCTTTCTGATATCAATACAGTGTAGGTCCATATATAGATTCAGTCAGCTAGACTATCTAACGTAGATGTAACTATTACTTAGCCTGTTCGACTCTCCGCGAAAGTCATACCACGTTGGCTCTATGGTGGTCGAATAGAGCCAACGTTACCATGTCTAACATAAAAAATGAGAATTGCTTGAAATTATTATTAATATTGGCTTTTCGACCGAATTAATAGTAGAAAACGGAAAGTTTTAGTTGATCAGCGGGTTTTATTGTGAGCTCTACATTGCCTTAAGAAAGACACTTTTATGAGCTGTGTGAAAATACTTTATTTCTCAGTCTGCAAAAAAAAAATTAAGTAAGCCAGCAGTCTGGGTTCGTGTTCTAGTTTGAACGGGATATGGTTATGCGTAACACAGTATGTAAATACCTTAAGCCTATGCCATATCAAGACCATGATGCGTGATATATTATCACATCCTTCTCGAGGTGAACCTGTTTTTTCATGTTGGCTATCATGTCGGCATAACAGAACATCATGGATCTAGAGAGGAAAACTCGATAAAACCCGTAATCTCCGGTGTTATTCGACCCGTGCCGATGAGATGAATAGCACTACGTCAGTGTGTTTTTAAACGGAGACCTCCGGATAACTGGCGCCCTCCGGTTGTAATTTAGCCTTATCCGGGTATTGCGGATCTCTGCCCGGATGGACCTTCCTTTCTCCGCAACTCGTGGGTTTTAATATGAATGAACCAATAAATAATAAAAATAAAAATTCTATAGCGGAGAGCTCGGCTAAACAGAGCTCCAAATCTTCGGACACTAAATGTCCAAATAAGGTACCTACCGCGACTTCCAGTGGTAATAAAAAGGTGCCTTCAAATAATAATAAACAAAACGTATCGATACGCTCCGGACCACTAATTCGGTCAGGCCCTCCAGGGAGGAGGAGTTACAAGGAACGCCGAGCGGCGACTAGACTGCTCGAAAGATACGGCAATATTTCGGTTACATCCGAATCTATGAAGGCCAGGATTGCCTGGGCTCAGCAGGTCCTCGATACCTCGAAGGACAAGCAGGAACCTGCTACGAAGCGACAGCGCTCATTAGATGAGTCAGCTTCAAAACCTGATGCCAAAAAGGCAAAATTTCGTGGCAACGCCACAAATACAAAATCCTTTAGCGACATGCTGAAGGGTTCTTTAATAATGGGAGTCATTGATGAAAATGACCCGGATGGCACAATTACTCCTGCTAAGTGGGACTTAATTGAGCTCAAGCTCCTTGACATTTATGTCGATCTCCTGAAGGACTTTCCTGGAGACGGTCCCACTTGTCGCGATAGTGGATGGCATCAGGGCCATGTGAAACTTATCGCCTGCGCAGATCAGCGTTCTGTTGATCTTTTTCGCAAAGCCATTTCCAGAATTGGTGAGGCATGGCCAGGCGCCAAACTTAAGGTTGTTACTAAGGAGCAAATCCCTAGTCGACCAAGAGCGCGTTCCTGGATACCAGCCCATCAGTCCGATCCTCAGCGGATTCTGGAACTTATTCGGTTAGGAAACCGTCAGTTAAACACATCAACGTGGAAGATTACCAAGCTGGAGGAAGTCAAGGGTAAATATAGGTCGGTCAGTTTTGTGATTGACAAAGCATCCTTGGCCACTTTGGCGAAATCAAATGGTGTCATTAACTACGGTTTCTCAGCCATCACAATGAGGGTATATAAAAAGGACGAGGAGCAATCCTTACCTAATGACACAGGTCCAGCAGCACCGCAAGGCACTGTTGATACCATAATGGAAGCGGGCGATATTGTAACTGCTACCACAAACTCAGTGGGCCCAGTAGAAATACTGCCTACCACTTCTGATTCAATAAATATGGACGTGACTATGTCCTCTCCAGCTCCTTCAATTACATCTGAAGAGAGTATTGGTACGCGCTATCTTTTTGACGAAGAAGAACTTTTGAACTCTGAAAATGAATCTGAAGAAGATAGCGCGCTTGACGTTACAGTGGTGCACACTACCACATCCAAAACAAATCATGATGCGGGTACTACAAATTAACCTGCACCACTGCAAGGCTGCGTCCGCCAGCTTGTTGCAATGCCTCAGCAACAACGAGGCTGATATGGTCCTGGTGCAAGAGCCATGGGTTTTCAAGGATCTTGTATGCGGACTCAGGACTAAAAACTTTGACTTAATGTATGCGGTAAACAAGGGTAAGCCTAGATCCTGCATATTAATAAATAAAATATATAACGCTCTCATGCTTTCGCAGTATAGTGACAAAGACCTAACCGCAGTAAGTATTGAGGGACCTTGGGGCCAGATATGGGCGGTATCTGCATATATGGCTCATGATCACGAAGAGTTGCCATCAAGTAACCTAAAACAGCTGACAATTGACGCTAGGAGACTTGGTGCAGATATCATTTTGGGCTGCGACGCAAATGCTCACCATGAAATATGGGGTAGCTCAAACACGAATGAACGTGGTGAGTTACTTTTCGATTTTATTTTTAGTAATAATCTTTTTATATGTAATGACGGTAATAGGCCGACTTTTGTTACCAAAAACAGGCAGGAGGTTCTAGACATTACCGTGACTACTGCCAAAATTCATGGGTCTATAAGAAAATGGAAAGTGTCCACTAGACACTCTTTTTCAGACCATATGATTTTAGAATTTTCTATACACTTAAAGAAATCAAGTACCCCCAGTTTAGAAACTTTCAGAAATGTCAGGAATACAAACTGGACAAAGTACAAATCCTCTATAAATGAGCTGTTGACAAACACTACTCTTTATCCGCCAGAGAATATAAATGATCTGGACGAGCAGGTAGGAGATCTTACCTCAATACTTAATGAAGCTTTTAACCTTGCCTGTCCTTCAACTCGACCTAGTAGGAAATGTAACCCACCCTGGTGGAATAGAAACTTAGGTCAATTGAGGAAAGAATGCAGGAGATTTTTTAATAGGGCAAAGCTTAATAGAAATGAGAGTGACTGGTCTGAATACAAGATCTCTCTGCAGAATTATAAGAAAGAACTACGTAAGTCTAAGAGGACTAGTTGGCAATCATATTGTCAAGAGATTAGTAGGGACTCTGAAACCTCTAGACTACGCAAAATCCTATCTAAAAATCCATCTGTCCCTGAGTTGCTAAGAAAACCGGATGGGACTTGGTCAAATAACAGTAGGGAGTCACTAGATTTATTACTAGATACCCACTTTCCTGGATCCTTTGCTTCGACGGAATCCTCAGAATGTTTAAACTACGCACCGGTAAACTCTATCAAGTTAAACCTACAAACTCTAAAATGGGCCATTTTTAGCTTTAAGCCATATAAATCACCAGGACCGGATAGTATTCATCCTATTGAGCTGCAAAACTCTTGGGATCAAATACAAAACTGGCTTCTGACCATTTTTAAATATTGTCTCATTTTTAATTATGTTCCAACTCAATGGAGAAAGGTTAGAGTTGTCTTTATTCCTAAGGCGGGTAAAACCTCTCATAGTAACCCTAATGAACTCCGTCCAATTAGTCTTTCATCTTTCATGCTGAAAGCTTTAGAAAGAATTATAGACTTTGAAATAAGGCGCGTTATAGATCCCAATCTTTGGTCACCGACACAACACGCCTACACTAAGGGTAAATCCACAGAGAGAGCACTCCATGCCCTCACCTGTACTATTGAAAAAACTCTTAAAGTAAAGGAATTTTGTATAGTGGCTTTCGTAGATATTGAAGGAGCTTTTAACAATATTCTTCCCAGTGCAATAGCTAACGCACTCTCGCGTCTGGGTGTTGAGGATGCGCTTATCAGCTTTATCGGTCAGTTATTAACTGGCAGAATTATTGAAGCACAAATGGGTGTATCAGCAACACACAGACGGGTAAATAGAGGTACCCCCAAGGGGGCGTACTCTCTCCTCTCCTCTGGAATATAGCGGTGAATGAACCGTTACAAAAACTGGGGAGAGCGGGATGCGGGACAGTTGCATATGCGGATGACATTGCACTAACAGTTACTGGAAAATATGCTACTAGTTTAAGGGATATTTTGCAGTATGGCCTGAATATCCTTAACAATTGGACACTGACATGTGGTCTCGGGGTTAACCCCAGAAAAACAGAAATCGTAGTATTTACCAGAAAACATAGGGTTCCAAATCTTTCTCCAATCTATATTAAAGGTTCTGCGATACAATATATTGAGAAAGCAAAATTTTTAGGCATTGTTTTCGATAGGAAACTGAGCTGGAAAGAAAATGTTTTGGAGCGGGCTAGGAAAGCAAACATTGCTTTGCTCCTTTGTCAAAAAGCTATTGGTAAAAGGTGGGGTTTGCAACCACGTATCGCTCAATGGCTATACACTGCTGTCATTAGACCAATACTTCTGTATGGCATTGCCATATGGTGGACAGCTCTTGATAAATCTTCGTACTGTACGGTACTGAACAGGGTTCAGCGCAGGGCTGAACTCTGTATAAGTGGTGCTCTGTGTACAACACCATCTATAGCATTAGATCTAATGCTCTATTTAATGCCACTTGACATCATCAGTAAGCAGTTGGCAGCATCATCTGCCCTAAGACTTAAGGCTACTTCACAATGGAAGGCTAGTGACTATGGGCACGGCTCGATTCTAAATATTTTCAGTTCTACTCCAAATAACATTGACTACACCTCTCCGATTCTCGACTTTGATAGAAAATTTATTGTTAGATTCCCATCCAGGGAAGCTTGGTTGTCAGGAGGTCCCTCCCTGGGTGAGGGTCTGCAAATTTTTACTGATGGCTCAAAGATTGGGAGCGGCGTAGGCAGTGGAGTTTTCTCAGAGGGGCTGAATATATCCTCCTGCTATAGGCTTCCGGATCACTGTAGTGTTTTTCAGGCAGAAGTAATTGCCATTAAGGAAGCTTTAGCTTGTCTAGAAGTAGGTAATATACTTGAAAGGAATATATGTATACTATCGGATAGTCAAACTGCTTTAAAGTCCTTGAGTTCTGTCCAATTCACATCTAGGACGGTCCTTGACTGCTACACATCTCTAAATGAGATGTCGACGCAGTTCAATATTCCTCTAATCTGGGTTCCCGGTCATAGGGATATTTACGGCAATTGTAAAGCAGACGAGCTAGCCAGACGTGGTGCTTCAGGGAACCACTCGGAACACCTAAACAATCTGGGCATATCGTTGACTTCATGCAAATTGATTTTGAGTTCTTCCTGTGCCGAACTTTTTAACAAAAGATGGGAAGACTCTGCGATATGCAGGCATCTGTATGCAATGTGGCCACAGACCAACAATAGAAAATCGAAGTCTCTCTTAGAGTTATCCCGTAGAGATATCAGTCTTGTAGTAGGTTTACTAACAGGTCATTGTATTCTAGGTAATCATGCTAGGAGACTGAATCTACCGTTCAACCATTTTTGCCGCAGTTGTGGTGAGGATGACGAAAGTGCCTCTCACCTGCTTTCTTCGTGTCCGGCACATGCACGGCGTCGCCTTAAATTTTTGGGGGCTTTCTTTTTTGAGGATCTTGACGAACTTCGAGAACTCCCTCTATGTAGCATTGTAAGCTTTGTTAAGGGTTCTGGATGGTTTTAGCCCATGGGTTTCTAAATAATACGGTATCACAATGGGCCTATGGGCCTAAGTGGATCCCCCTGGGATCGCCGGTTTAACCTAACCTAACCTAACCTAAGCCAGCAGTCTTGTTGTTTCATATGTTATTTTTAAAATAAGCGGTTGTTTTTTTGCAATAGGCTTACAAAAGAATAAGGCTTTAAAAGCCCGATGTAGCGCAAGCTCGTTATACATATGCTAGCTAGGCAAGGGATAGGGGAAAAGTTTCTTAAATACTACAAAGGATAAGAAACACTTATCTGAATTAAGGTTTATCACCATTAATTCCGACCTCAAGCTAAATTTTTGACATTTAACTTTATTTTTATTTATATAGCATAAAATTTCGAAAAGTAAAAATAATATATGATCAATAAACTGGCATAAGCTCGAGATTAGAAGACCTAAATCAAACAAGATCAAATTTTGGAATATTATTCTATGTTGCTATAATACCAAAATGTATAAAACACTAACTTATATTAACACATTATGAAAGGGACAGGTATTTGTACTCGTTCCGAGGATTGTGACTTATAAATGGGACAGCTCATACCCGTTTAAAATAAGTAATTTTAAGTGACACAAGGGAAAAGTAATGTATCAAATATATGACTACGTTTCAATGGTCGTAATGTGAAATAGAAAAAATTCCGTCCATCTATATTTTAACCAATAATATTCTTCGCAGCCACGTGTCTCCTGAGCTAGCCGCTCATAATGTATTAATTATATTAGTATATATATATATTATAT